CATACCACAGCTGGCTGGTCACCAATATGTGTATTTGTAAGTCGATGAAGCTCAGTGCAAATTTTTGAAAACATTTATACTTGTTGCAGTTCAGTATCATAAATAAACAAATTACAATATAAAATATTGCAGAAAACTTACTGGAAGTCTCTTTCCGTTGAGGTACACCTTCACTCCACGTGACGAAGCTGCCACATCATACGCTCTTCTGGACATCAGAGCTATAATATCTTTATCCAACGTCTCCATTTTAAACTTTGATAAGTCTGGTGAGAAGGAAATTTTTGTGAAATCTTCTCCTATGTTGTCTTTAATTCTAGGTTCTGAAGCTTTTGACATGTTACTGCCCCAAACCTACAAATATAAAACAAAATTTGCTATAAAAAAACAACTACTCAACTTATATATGATTCCTCAAACATGCAACTACATATTAGGCAATCATTTTGGGAGAAAATCTCACAATGGATACAGAAAATACTTTCCATGTACAAGTGTTAAGGCTTTTAAAGGAGTTATCATGCACCATAATGTATACAGGATAAGGTTAAGTTACTTCAAAACATAACTGGAGCCCAGACTTTTCATCTCACATACAACATCAAAACAGGATCTTCGAAGACATGTCAAGAATACAGACATCTGTATGTAAGGGTCCCCACTTAATGGTACCTGCACCTTGTCATGGTGGTGGGGCTTGAGTACCTCAGTGACCCCAAGAGCTACTGGTAGGGCCTCCCTAGCCAGATTGGTCGAGGGGAAGAGGTCAGACTAAGACAGGTACCCTGGTCCTCCAGGTTGGGGGTTGGTCACACCATAAAAAGGAAGATGTTTCGAAACCTCAACCTCGGACAGACAGACCTAACAGAAGGACCGAATGGAAGAGGAGAATTGAGGAGGCCATGGACCGAATACAGACAGGAGAGCCATAGAAGAAGAAGTATGTAAGGGTATTCACAATGTAGAAATCATACACGCCAATGGATCCTCACTGAATGGATCAGCAGGACGTATATTCATCATGAAAGAGATAACGAAATTTCATTGGCCTTCTGCGACACATTTCTATGCTTCATATAAAGCAAATGCTATTCAAAGATTGTACTCAACCACAGATGGCAGACACACACAACTGTTTCAAACTGCGTTTATATTCCTTAGACGCTGTTTCTACTGTGAACATTGTGTTGAATATATTACACAGCTTAGCACCATAACCATTTCTACCTCCTGTAACCTTTTCCTCTTCATCATTATAGTTAGAAGATGTCAATAAATGACCAAAGATCATAGTAGGCACATACATTTTTTCATCTTTGTGCTCAACAACTGGAATACCTTGGCCATTATTCCATACTGATATTAAATTCCTATCTCTGAAACATAAAAACAGAATAAGACCAAATAAATAACTCACTTGTTCGCTCACTACAGAGCACAGCCCTTACTGAGAAGCTAATAGTCACTCTGCTACTCAAGAAATTCCCGACCTTATACAAATCCCAGACATTCATTACTGTGTTCACTGAATAAATAATAAATTGAAGACAAAATTAAATTTACAGACTTCGCCGATAATCATTTTAACACAGCCAAAGTAAAGGCAATATAAGCAGCTATACTTACGGATTTATTTCGATTTTGATGCAATCCATTTTGGGATCTCGTTGTTTGTTATCAGCAGCATTTACAAGAATTTCATCAAAGATTTTGTAAAGACCAGGAACAAATGAAATATCTTTCCAAACCATTAAATCTTGCTCTTCATCATACACCCACATAGGTTCTGTTACAGGCTCAACAGAACCTAGAAGAATTTTAAACCACAATCTATATTAGCTTGATATTGCAAAAACACATAAATAAAACAATCTATTTTACAGTTAAATTTCAGGTTCTTCTTGATTACTAGTGTGGTAGAAGTTTAGCAAGGTTTCAGAGGCACTAATTGCCTCTAAAACTTCAGTAAACTTCTACCAGCCTATACATTACAACATCCCCACCTTCAATTTATCTTACAAACTGCATGTACTCTGACAGTCATACAGAAACTTTCTACATTACCAAAAACTGAATAAAATAGAGCAATGTTTCAAAATGATGGAGCCCCACCACTCTGCAAAGGTAATTTACAATGGACGGCTCAAAACTTTGTTACCTCATTATTGGTACCTTAGTTCACCGGTCATGTTTCCTATAGAACTAGATAAAATAGGTAGTATGAAGTATAAAAACCAATAAAACTGAGCATCTAAATCTGTTTATACTTTCACAGCTCGGGGTTAAGAAAAAAAGATAAGTCTAAATCTGTTTATACTTTCACAGCTCACAAGATAACACTTGCAGGTGGATGAATGGGCTTCATATCAAATTTATATAACGCAGGTAATCTTTCAGTTTCTCTTTGCTGCATCTTTCATTTATGTTTCTAGCACTAACTGTTACAAAACATTGAAAACATTAAAACCATACCATAACTTTACTAACATGGTACATACTGATTTTCTTCAACAGACAGCAATTCAGAAAGAAATGGTTATTCTTGGCATTTTAAAGCACAATCAGTTATGTCACAAATATGCAATATTTTACCTCAGTCAATATTGCAAAACATATAATGTGGGTTGGGAACAAAAGGTTTAGAATGAGATGAGGAAGATTGCTACAGACTTGGTTTAAGCATCTTTGTATTATGAGTGTTAATTAATGTTATTCTACCATTTAATTTGAGAAAAATACACACAACCAAAACATCAAAAAATTACCAATATATGTGTCTGGTCTGAGCAAAATATGCTCCAGTTGAGATTTCTTCTGGTAAATCCTTTCGACTGTAAGCTTCTTGTTCGAAGGCTTCTTGGGAGCAACATCCCCTCCACCCATCTCTGGTACCTGCCCATTTATTACCTCAGTGGCCATGTTAGGCATAAAATCCTGAAATGCAGAACATAAATAATAAAGTTCATTCTGAAGGTACCAACTGTAAAGAAATAAAAAAAGTTGGTAGTGGACGTTTCTCTAATGTAAAGAAATGAAATGTAATGTAATAATTCTTATATAAGATAAGTACTTGCTTTATTCTAAAACGTTTTTACAACACGACGCACTTCTTCTACAAGCTCTTTCCGCAATAACGAAAGCGGATTGTTGATGGCAGTAATGTAACACAAGAATGCTGAGTAAACAGATGATGCAACGATTAGTTTCTTAGGTAACATAACAATGCACGCAGGAGTTCATATAAAAGCTGGCCATTGTTGTCGGTCCATATTTACACATGTTGATATGGATCTTACACAACTTCGTTACATTTTTTTGCCGAATGACCCTTCCTCATAGACGTATTTACGTCAAAAAAAGACACATTTCCTTTTTGACGTAAATACGTCTATATGGAAGGGTCAGTGTCATTCCGCAAAAAAGTGTAAGAAAAAAGTGTAAGATGGTTACCTAGGAAATATCAATAATTTGTTATCTAGGAAACGTCATTGTTTACTCGGCATTATAGTTACCTAGGAAACGCCATCTGTTTACTCTGCATTATTGTTACCTAGGAAACATCATTTGTTTATTCAGCATTGTTGTTACCTAGGAAACGTTACATTACATTTCATTACAGTACATTTCATTATATTACATTACTTTACATTAAATTCATCTACCACAGACCCATCTTAAGCGTAACTAATTCAAGTTAAATAAGCAATGTCTTAATCAAACTTTACTCAATTGTAAAGCATGTATAAAGGAAATATTTAGAATAAAGCCAATATATAAACTTCCTTTCTGTATAGACGTATTTACGTCAAATTCTCCAGAACCATGGTTCCACTGTCAATTTTTGTATCAGCACTCCAATCTAAATTTAGTAAATCCATACAGAATACAATTTGTAGTAATAAGTCTTCATTTCCAGAGCTGAAATTATATGGAACTTATAATGTTTATACTTTCTACTGAATAACTGATTCATGTAACTACTTTGAAATATTGCCACAGAATGGTCTGAAATTATTAGCATCTATCTCTTGTAGTAACACAAAACATATTACATACGTCGTCATCAAATTCATGAAACATTTTCCCTCCCCTCGTCAAATATCAAATGGTACATAAATCTGGCAGTTCATAGTAACCAAAATCTTAATCGAACCAAAATATTTAAATTAATTTCGGAATTCTCAACAAACAGAATCCCTAATGTATGAACCAATCACAAAACAGCATATTCTTTCATTGGTTGCCGCCGATTAGTATGAGAAAATTCTTAACCAAAGACCTGTGGAAAGGACGATACAAATTATATTCGTACAACCCTAACACAATGCACTAACTAGTTAGATATATATAGCCTATATTACCTTATATCCCCTAAATGACGGAAACCTCCTCCTTCCTTCACCAAAATGCAGCTTATTTGGCTTATTCAACTTCTAGTCCACGACTCCCTCTAAGCCTTCTGAACAAAGCCTGTCAAAACCAGACATGTTCAATACCTCTCTCCGGTAAATAATAGAGACCAGATTATTATAGACGCATTTTCATGCTACTCAGATAATGTGTACTACAAAGCATAAATTTGTATACAAGAATAACTATAATTACTTACTTTCAGATCTCATTTCAGAGCCGGAGCGTCATTCCATTACACCCTCCATTTTGAAAGTTGATCGATAGCCGGGCATCGTCGTTCAGCTGAAAGCGGATACATCACTTTGGCGCGTAATCTTGAAATTTAAATTGATTCACTAGTACGACATTCTTGAACAAGTAACTTCGCCCCACAAATTTAATATGTATGAAAATAATTTTGTTCAGTTACTCTCAAGTAATTACAGGAGGATAGATGGACAGGAAAGGCAAAATCATTAGGTGCACTTCTGCAACTTTTCATTCCAAACATGCCTAAAATTGTCCTTAGTTAACCAATGGCTGCCATTATATTGACAGCTAGACATCTTCCAGACTGTTCTGACCATGTTAATGAGCAGAATGAAATGATGGTCTGTAGTCAGTAATGAAGTACCAATAGCTATAGAGCTTGAAAAACTATATTACTATAATCTAAATTTGAACAAACTGATGAGAACTCCATTAATTAAACCAATACACTGGGATTCAAATGGCAAAATTGTGCTAGCAATATTGAAATCTTGGGTGCTGCCATTTTGGTACTTCTTACAGTCCATCCTTTCACCAGTGCACCTTATGAAAATAATAGTATTTTATACAACACTCACAAATAAGTAAATATTTATTGCCATTCCTATATTGTGACTTAGTAATTTCTTTCCCAGTTATTATATTCAGGCAGTTTACTTCAAGTTTTCCACTCTCTCTTCAGTCCTGCAGTGTGATCAAACAGCTTGGGATTTTGGAATTCCCCTTTCATATCCAGCACAAAAAATAGACGATAGTTCTTCACTTTAATGGGCAGTTGAACACGAGCATTTTGCCGGCTCTCCTGGCTGCTAACCTAGAAGTACAGATCAGGAATGTCAAACAACTGAAATTCCAAACAAGCATAGGACTGCATTTTACCTCTACACCTCCCAACAGGCTATATCACATCACATCTTATATGACTGTGTGTGGTCAGATTCAAGAGAGTGGAAAACAGATAATGAAGTATGTCAGATGATTAGCAATCACATACAATAACAGTAAAAAAAACATTATTTAAAAAAAAATTCATAATGCTTCTCAGGGAGTTCTGATTTTGAACTGAGTATCTGATTGTGTAAAATTTAACAGGAAAGAGAGAAAATAAATTGTGTGATGGAAACTAGGGGTATCGAAAAAGAACCATGCCTTTTATACAATTAATTACAAGATGCAAGACATATGGAAAATCACATACTCCAAGAAATTAATGCACAATACAAATTTATTTTAACACAATCACATTTAAAGAAGAGCTAATAGTTTGTCAACAGTAAATGATCATAGCATACATGGTAGAATTAATACTCTGAAATAATAAAAGTATTTACCTTATTCACGTCAACTGTCAACATCCTGTTCTTCCCAAATGGTGTGTATGTTACAAATGTTAGTTTATCACCTCCCTTCCGCAGTATGAGATATCGAACAGATTTCAGAGTGAAAAACCATGCTGCTGTTAGAATACCATATCCTTAAACATAATTTTAAAAGTTATTTTATATTAAATAATGAAGTAGATCGATGAAAGCTGAAAACAATCTCTGAGGTAACTACAGTCTTATCATATGTGGTGGAGACATTAGTTTCACAGGAATTTCTTGACAAATCTCAGGTATATAACCAGTGACCTCAAAATTACATTTCAATCCCTACTTCCTTCAGTCACATTATACAAGCATTTTTAATCTAATTTTCTGAAAAGCTGGATCAAACCTGAGAGCAGATATTAAAGTTAAGCTGTACTAACACTGAGAACATCAAACATAAGAAAATGATCAGCACAAATTACTAATTTCAGCTTAATCAAACATCTGTTTCAATTTGATTAAAATCTACTTGCTAGCACAAATGGTGATGAAATGGTTTATTCCAGGATACTATCACCACAGCTACAGCAAAGTATCAATAAAAGTCTCAGTAAATCAATTATACTTCTGATCATTTAATCATATTGTGCACATAATATATGCTGAATGAGTCCCATGAAACATCCTCATATTGTTGATGTAGGTGGCATGTAGTTATGGAGGGCAACTTTAAATTTATTGAATAAACAATGTAAACAGCTGACAAGAGGTAGTTTATCAGTTTGGTGGTTTGGTGAAGGCTAAAAACCAGCATGTTACAAAATGTTACACAAGATCAATCAATTGGATTTATCTGGCTTAGGATGAGAACAAGTGGTGGGACCCTATGAACGTAGTACTGAACCTTTGGATTCCATAAAAGTTATAACACTTATCGACCAGCTGAGCTGCTGTAAGCTTCTCCAACTTTGAAACATGTTGAAATGGTAAAACATACATACATTTTGGAGGTGTTTGCTACCTTATTTTCTGGGGTTGAAGTGATGTAAACACTGCTTAAAAGTGTTTATATGTGGAAATTGTGATCAGTCAGAAATCTAGCCAACAATCGATTCTAATTAATCAGAACAGAAGATGCCAGGAATGGCTGACACAGAGATGGAAGAAATAATTTTAATCCTTAAATCATGATACTGCAGCTACCCCTGTATACACTGACAAAAAAATATAGCCATTACATACAAAACACAAAGTTAAAATTAAAGGTATATGTCAACAGACCAAAATTATTCATTTTGAACTGCCACTGCTATAAAATTATAATATTTAATGTTTGTATTATAACTACCACTTCTGTTAGAAAATAATCCAACTAAAAGAATAAATATGAAGTCAAACCTCACAACTGTATTGTTTAATATTTAAATTACCTAATTCAGAAATCGTATGTTGAATGAAGCTTTGTACACTTTCGAGTAATGCTTACCTATAAGGAAACTCAAAACTGTCAAACCATTTCTGTATTTATTTTCTCCGAGATTAATTCTCCTCCACCAAGGCAGATTGTCCACATCTTTTGAAACAGGTGCATCCCTCATTGTAGTAAAAGCAAAGTGAGAAAGGTATGTCCAAAAGCCAAATTGACACAGTGCGAAAATGTTCACAATGCGAAAGAATTTCGGATTATCGTAACGGTACAAAATAACGTCTTTTACTACTTTTGTATTTACGTCAAGAGCAGATGTGCTCACAAAGACTTTCGGAAAAGAAGGCCGGTGCCCCATGATACATAGCCGGTTCAGATTTCTAGCGCATATATGGGCTGCACTTGTATAAATCAGGTTGTTGGTCAACGAGCAATGTAATTCATTTATTGTGACTTTATATTGGAATGGTACACTCCTGTGCCATCCCTTCCCAATTAAGTTTAATGACGGCAAAACCAAATATTTACATGCATACATAGCTAATGAAGCCAACGTTCACTCCACAACAGCTCAGTAATTGGCACAGAGAAATTAAAAATGATGAACTTAAAAATGTTCTTCTTTTTCAAAACTGAACATAACCCCACTCTACGTTCGATATCTGCTGTGAACACTAGGTAGGGATGAATCTCTGCACACATTACCACCAACACAGAAGACCTGAATTACCTACTTACACTTCGTATGAATGTATTTGACCGATATCACTATTCTCCATTACAGTGCATGAATCATCGAGTAATCTTGACACGGATGTCTCTATCCGTGACCACCACATCTTCCACCACGAGAGCGAAACAATACTTGAAGAAGACAACTGTCTTCTTATGGTAATTTACCAACATTTCACAAGCACCTCTGAAACGTTGGGAAACTTCTGCCAGACCACACGGTACTGCAACCAAGCGGACAGACATCTTCATATTCGCCGTTGTGAGAACCTGAAATGTCACAATGTACCAGAAGTTCACGACCCGCAGACCGGCAATGTTTTGATAAATAATGAGCCTGTTCGTAATAAGTTTTAAGAACTAGTAAAAAATTGACATGAAGTTATAACAAATTTCCCTCACTTAAAGCTATCTGGCTTGAGTCAATAAGCAAGGAAAATCTGGCCAGAACCGGTCAAAGTTGAGAACCCTGCTTGGTACATCATATAAAACACAATACTTGCTTCGGATTTGATGTAGTAACCATGACGGCGCAGCTTACAAAATTTAATTAGAGAAGTATGTGCTGCAAATGAGTCAAAATGGGAATAACTGCATATGAGGTTTGTTTATGCAACTGAATTTGTATATTAACTTAATCATATGAAGTAACTGTATTTGCAATTGAATATGGTTATTGTTAGAACCTCTCTGTTGAGCATAGTTTTTGAGAAACAATCACTCAGCTAATCAATATATTTCCCGCTTATTAAGTTTAAACCAGTCTACATTCTCACACACTATTTCTTTAAGATACATTTTAATTTTATCCAGCCAAAACTGCTTAGCACCACCCCAATTGTCATAATTATGTAATTTATATTTGTACTGGAAGCAAGTATTGTATTTGTACTAGGATTTATATCACTGGTATAGGCCTATTAAGGATGTATGGAATGTAAATAAATTCTATCTTCTATTCTATGCTGGACTCGTTCTTTCAGGTTTCCAACTATAACTTCTGCGATGGAATGTAAATAAATTCTATTCTTCTATTCTATGCTGGACTCATTCTTTCAGGTTTCCAACTATAACTTGTGCATATTTCTCTTATCCCCATGTATGCTGTATTCCCCATAAAGTACTTCTTTATTTTATCATCAAATAATTTTGAAACCCCTCATTATGTAATTTTCTCCATCTTCCTATTATTTATTCTTTCTTAGATCCAAACACTTTGTTCAGCATAAGTGTGCTGTATATCAAGAGAACTACAGTGTAAACCAGAATCCGTTTAAAAGGTAACGAAGGCAATAGGGAACAATTTCAGCATCTCTTGTAATGTAGTAAAGTAAAATTCACTCTACTATGTTGCAATCAACACAGTTTGATACACAGTGGGAAGTCCATGACCTGGTAAAGCAGACAAATATTCTGCCTGTGCATTTCACTCGCTGGATACAGCAAGCAATTAGTCAGCCACTCGTTAGATATTGAAATGAAATGAATCACTGCCTAGTGAGGGTTGTGGTGATTGCCATAACTGGTAGACTGAAAAAGAATGAAACAGAAAGCATTCTCATCTTCCTTCAGTTCTCTTTTCTTTCATTCTAATGTAACTAGGAATTTAATTCCCACTTTAGTTTTGTGTATTTAAATGTGTGTTACCTCAAAAACTTATAAAACAAACTACTATTTTTACAACTTTCTAAACTGAAAAAAACAATGACGAATCAACTTTTTCTAAAACTAACAGAGAATAATTATGACCTTGATTATAAGTTTATACAAAATATGTTATAAAATACACATAAACACAGACCGAATTCATCATCCTATGTGAGAAGTAGCAAATTTTCTGAGTGAATTATAAAGATCCTCCTTTCACACCATAGTTTTCACATCCAGAAGCATATCTTATTTACCTTCCTTTCTGCAGCTTGTAGGGCCATAGTACAGTTGGTAACAAAACAGTACCAGTACAGCATCTCTGAACATTTAAATCTTCTCTTACCGCAAACTTAATTCTAGATCATTACGAGGAATAATGACAATTATTGAGCACACGATCATAAAATGTCTTCACAGATAAAGATACAAGTTACATATTGGCAATGCAGGGTTGCATACAATATTAAAGTTGGCAAGTGATCACAGTGTAGACAGGCATATATTTATTTTAGTTCTATAGACATTATTAATAAATTTCTCAAAATCTAAAGTCTTTCATACCATAGCAAATTTTAACACTTATACTCATTCACAACTGGAGATTCTCTCTATTAGTACTCTTAAAGATCTATAGTTTTGATTAGCCAGATTTGGTTTCATACAAATTTAGAATTAATGTTATGAGTAAATTCATTACAATTCTTACAATTATACTTTGTACAAATGTGATTTTAACAGTTTCAAACTACAGCAGATGGTCAAATGGTCAGGAAGTCTCATTATTTAATTCCTTAAATGCATTGTAACAACTGAACACAGCAGATGTCTCAAGACAAGTGAGGTACTGTAATTTACTATATTTTACAGGGGCACAAAGATTAAGTCATTCTGGATTGTCTAACTTTCTTATTTGAGGAGTTAATATAATCTGCTCCTAATAGAAAAATCACAAATGTAATGAGGTCTCTCAAGAAGTAGACTAGAAATTGAAAGAGATTTGAGGTTCTCACAGCAGTGAATATGTCAGCATCAGTCTTCTAAGCTGTAATGCCATGTGGACTTATAGGTAGACACCAATGTTTCAGAGGAATATACTGCCTCTATCCACACGGCAGAATTCCTGAAAACAGAAGCAGTATGTTCCTCCAAATTGCTGATGTCTACTCTGAAGCCTACATGGCTTTAACAATCCAGACGACAACAACGGCACAGATATTAAATGCTAATTCAGTATCTTTACCAGAGATGGAAGCAAGTCTGTACAAATCATCATGACACACCAGTAAGAACTTTTGGTTTCTACCACTCCTACCTTTTAAGTACCTCTCAAAATGTATGTACACCCCACTGTAGGAATACAAGATCCTATTCTGCAACTTGGTGCAAGCAAAAAATGATGACACACATAAATTTCTTTGTAATTTACACTTGTTCACCAAAAAGTAAGTGTGATGTATAGACAATGAATACAAGATCTTATATAAACTGCCTTTTTGCTGGGCAAAGTCTTAAATGTGAGACATATACGGCATTTTCATACAGGAATAATAAAATCAGTTATCCCACTTCAGCACTGACAACTCCAGTTTGTCTTGTGGGAACATATGTTCATGGAAAAAACAATATGGGCAATTTAAATTTATTTAAAATGTAATGTTGGCAGCATTTTAAAAGACGGCTGCTCCTTCTGAGAGAACACACTACAGAAGAAACATTATTTCTGATAAGATTTTTGAGGTCAGTGGGTGTGAAATTAGTTAAATTTATGTAATAGTAACAGTTCATTATGACAGTAACTGTACAGGCCAGTTAACAAATGAGTAGAAAGATTCAAAGGAGGAACAAGTGCAGTTTGTGCAGACTGAATAGCATATCAGGGACAACAGAAGAATTGGTACTGATGAAGCTGCATCTGAAATGAGCATCATTCATAAAAATAGGTGATTCAATAATGATTTTAAGACACACCTATAACATTTTATTTCAACTGAATTACGAAATCTATGAACCACTGGACCAAACACATTGGAAAGGATAGAGAAATAAGATATGTCCACATACTACTTGTCTATTTTGTCAGTACTTATAATAACCTGTACCAACATTGCTAGTATTTAAATATGTATGTATTGTTTGGTGAAGAAAAGGGGGGAAGTTGAACTGCTTTCTATACAGAGACCATGATATCAATATAACAGTACCTCTTCTCCAATCATTTTTTTCTCTCTCTTCCCCCCCCCCCCCCCCCCCCCCCCCAACAAACTATGGATAAGTACAAAAATAAATTAATAACCCCAAGGATCTATGGAATGTAAATAAATTCTGTTGTTCTGTTCTGTTCTACCATTACCAAAGACACTCATAGAAGAAGCACATACTTTGTCACGACTAAAATCACTTACTGATATGCCACTCTGGATTGTATGAACTAAGATCATGAAGAGAGATGATATGCTAAATTTCAGCCTTCTACAGCACTGCCAATTAGCAAGGTGATCTATCTTGAATTAAGTGTTCAATAATATATTATTTGATAGTAATGTAATCACTATTATAATAATATTATAATAATTCAGACAAGTGATGTCATATATTGATATATAAATCAGCAGCATTCAGTGTGATTACACGGCTAGCATCAGCCTTAAATTTTTGCAAATACTTCATGAAATTCATATCATCTCACTTTCCTTCATAAACACATTAATTAGCAGGCTACAAAATCTATTCTTGCCCATCGATCAAACAATCAAGAAACTTGGAATTTATTACATAGAAAACAAGGCCAAAACACAGAGTGAAGCAGAAGACAATACTCTGTTCCAAGTTCTAAATAAATTTATAGTTACTGTTGCTGCTTACACCTCCAAGAATGATAACTGGCCACTACGGTTTCTGTCAATCTGGCAAGCATGATGAAATAAACCCACACTTTAGATAACATCACAAACAGATAAGATTCCCTTTTTGCACAAATTGATCTGATGACTGTGAAGATGCAGATGATGGTTGGCAGAAAGGATCTACATTTTAATATTGTACCCCAACCATTTCATGTTTAGTTCTGATTCAGTCAAAAGTAAGGTGAAAATATGCACTGGCATGGAAACCAAGAGCCTTATGTCAACACCAACAGATCACTACGTATACTAATTTCTTTTTCACACTGGAGAACCTCCACTGATATTTTACCCTGGGAATGCTACAGAATGTATTGTCAGAATCAGGATATATGTAGGTGTCAGCAAACCAATACATGTTTTCAAACAAAATTTAACATGCCTTATCTAGTTTTAAGTTTATTAAATGGATTTAATTTGATCCATTACTTATTATTACTTTATAAAATCCACTCAATAATTTTATGACACTTTTATTAATGAATAAATATATTATTTAGTTGATAAAAAGTGAATTATAATGCTAATCCTTCTACACCACTGATCACAATACTGAGGCTGTAAGACAAAGACCATATGGAACACCATCTTCAAACGTGACTGAAATATCTCAGTTTAAAAGATATATCTAACACTACTACCTAATTAAAAGAAAACACTTGAAACCCAAATTGGCCACTTGGCCAGGAGTGAAACACCCAATGGTTGAACAGGGTTGGAATGGCCCACCTGTCTCAACCAGCCCACAAATAATTTATTATCACAAAATAATGCAGCCCAGTTAATCTTCAAATGCACTGAACACATAGCAATCACATCTTCCATCCTTTATTCACCTTCATGAAAAGTTTGTGCGGTCCAATTTACTTTTCTTGCTGATTATCCACTCTCTGTGCTTCTCAACCTCTGTAATATTAACTGACGTTAGTTCGTTATTATTTACCTCTCATCAAGATACAACCGATAAAATAAGTTGATACCACTTTTCATTTAGAAGTGATGTACATAATTTTCTTTCTATTTATTATCAGAGTACTCTCCTGAAGAAATAG